GGGGCGGGCTGGATGGCCCAGCAGGGCCACATACGTGAGCAGGGTGTCCTCGACCAACTACGCAACCCCTGCAGCCGGTCAAACCGCTCCGACATCATTTTGACCGGCTCGCCGGCCGGCCGACAGCCCCGCACCCCTCTTGACGCGGGCGACCGCGGGACGCTGCAAAAAACCCAATCCCCCTGCGGCCCTCCCCCCGTCAGAAACATCGTCGGCGGCGCGGGCCCAGGGGCAAGGGAGGCTTTCAAGGGGTATTCACATTCACGGGCCCTCAGGGCGTGGCGCCTGACGCCCCGCCGCGCGCCGGCCGCGGGCGGCGGCCAAGGGGGTTCGTCGTTCCCTCTGCCGCTCGTGCTCCCGCGCGTCCCGCCCGGGGCGGCCGCGGGCGCTGCGGCGGCCGCGCCGGCGGGCGCGGGGGCGGCGGCTGCGGATGTACGCGGCGCGGCGGCGGCGGCAAAGGCTGGGGCTGGGACTGCGTGCGGATCGGCGATGAGCCCAGCAGCGAGCACTTTAGCGGGGGCCACAAGCGCGGTCAAAGCAGCGGCGGGGCCGGGGGGGCAGGCGCTTGCCTGCCTGATGGCGCGCGCCGCGGCCAAGGGCGCGCCGCGCGCGGCGCCGCCGGCTGCGGCCGCCGGCCGGCGCCTGGCGGCTGCGGCCGCGAGCAGCGGCATGGTCAACGCGGTCGCGGGGCGGCGGGCGGCGCAGCAGCAGGAGCCCCCGGCCGAGGCCCCGGCCAACGTGTCGGCCAGCGATGCGGAAGCCCTGCGGGCGGCCGTGGCGGCGGCGCTGGCAAAAGGCGGCCTCGTCAGCGAGACAATGCTGCTGCCAGGTTGGGGGGGCCTGGGGCGGCGAGGGGCCGCCGTGTGGAGGGGCAGGGATGGGCGCGTGGAGGCTGCGGGTGCGGCCGCAAGGCTGGCTCATCTCGCTGGTTGTTGGCAGGCCTCATGGCCGGACCCGTGTGTCCGAACGCAACACAGCCTAGTTTTGTGTGCACGTTACAACCACCAGTATCCGTTATAGGACCAACCAGCCGGCCATCAGCGGATGAATGGCTGATGACAGGTCACCAGCCGCCTGATGACCGGCTGTGCGTCCAGACCACCCACCCACCCACACAAAAACTCAACCACCCGACCTCCCACCCACCCATCTGACCAACCTGCCGACCTGCCGACCCGTCAGCCTACGACTACCTGATCGGCCGCATCACCTACGCCGCGTCGGAGGAGCGCCTGCGCGTCGCGCACGCGCTGGGCAGCGCGCCGCCCTTTGAGCTGCTGGGCATCGACTGGGGCCTGGACTGCGTCGAGCGCGGACTGGACTACTGCAATGGGTGTGTGTGGAGGGTGGGGCGGGCGACGGCACGCACATGCAGGCGCAAGTATGCGAGATGCGTCCTGGCCAAAGGGCGCCAGCTTGCAGGCCGACGGAGGCGCGAGGGCCAGCCCGGGCACATTGCGCACGGGGCCGGTCGCGTGGGGTTGGCGGGGCGGTCGGTGGGGTTTTGCGGCACGTGGATTTGCCGAACGGGACAGTCAGGGAGGGGCACGCATGTTTAAACGCGGCTGGACCACATTCAGCACCGGATGGGGTGCGTTTGCTCTGGGGTCTAGGCACCGTTCGCGGGCTGCTGACATCTGGGGCGGGTGGGGGC